GGACAGCCTCAGCTCCATATGCACATATTTTGTACCGGACATTCATCTTCATGGCTTCAGCCTCCTTGGCCCTCTGGGATTTGCCAGGGAGTGGATTATGGGAAAATGACTGATATGTCATTTTTCCTTTTATTAATCCAAGAAAAATCAAGCCCATCTAATGCCACAAGAAAATTGAGACAACTGTATTCCATCAGCTTCCCAGCCACCTCAGCTTACAGATAAAATTAAACCTCATCATTCATTACTTTTTCCTCACATCTGCTCTATTTTCCCTACTAGTTTTAGTTTTTAACTGCAGTGAGTCAGCAAGGGTATGCCACTTGCAAGTCCTTCGAACCATATATCTGAATGTCAAGATTATAACCATATGGCCTTTATCCCTGTTCTCACCCCTTCTTTTACCTGGTCATAGAAGGAAATATCTAACAGTTGTTCTTTGTCTTCTCCAAGGAGAAAGTGGCTGCTCCTACAGCCTACTTCTGACCTATTGGTTGGTTGGTTTAGCTGCAGCCAGCAACCAAGTACCACACAGCCGCTTGCTCACTCTCCCCCCTGTGGTGGGATGGGGGAGAGAACTGGAAGAGCAAAAGTAAGAAAAGTCATGGGTTGAGATAAGAACAGTTTAATAATTGAAATAATAAATATTACTACTACTACTACTAAAATAAAAATTGTAATTAAAAGAAAAACAAGAAACAAAACCCGTGACAAAACAAGTGATGCAACGGCTCACCACCCACCGACCAACGCCCAGCCCATCCCTGAGCAGTGATCACTGCCACCCAGCCAACTCCCCCCAGTTTATAGGCTGAGTGTGATGTCATATGGTATGGAATAGCCCTTTGGCCAGTTGGGGTCAGCTGTCCTGGCTGTGCCCCCTCCCAGCTTCTTGCATACCTGGCAGAGCAGGGGAAGCTGAAAAGTCCTTGGCTGGTGTAAGCACTACTCAGCAACAACTAAAACGTCAGTGAGTTATCAACATTCTTCTCACCCTAAATCCAAAACACAGCACTATGCCAGCCACCAGGAAAAAAAATTAACGCTATCCCAGTAAAATCAGGACAACCATACTGCACAAACTGATGCTTCTGCTTCCCTCTTCCCACCACTCATGTTGCTAATCTCTCCTCTCATCCCCAAAATACAAAACGTCATTTCCTACTTTTCAGAAGCAGTCCACTTTTCTGCCTTTACACTTGCTGGTCCTGAGGTTCTGATGAGGCTTGTTGTTTTAACACAGGCTTGTGTGAGTGCATCACTGTTGCTGTTATCAGTCACCCCTGGATAATTCCCTCCCTTCACAGGTTTCTGTGTACACATTAGATGTCCTCAGCACCTGATCCTGAACACTTATTTTGGAAGAACAAGCTGAAGGAGAGCGTATGCAAATATCACTGACTGGCATGCCAGTTACTTGTGCTGCCTGAAAGCTGCTGATCTCAAGTCAAACCCTTCTTTTAACAATAAAAATTATCCCTGAAAACTGCCAACATGGGGAAGGCCTTTGGTAACAGAAAATACCTTAGTTCAGCCTAGACAAACACAATGCAAAACCTGTGGTTGTACTCAACTGCAATTTATTAAAGCCATTTTCGGTTACCTTACTGTCTCAGAGTCCCAGAGGGAATGCCCAAGTTAAAGCAGCTAAGAGCCCTAAACTGTCTTGCAACTCCTCCTTCCTCTCTCAAACAGACCCTTCCCAGGAACTCAGTAAGGGACCTTTCCACATTGCAAGTACTCGAGGCTCATTACATTCCTCTTAGTATTTGTATCAAAAGAAATTAATTATATAGGTCATAACAACCTGCACAACTTTTGAAATGCAGAGTATAAGTTCTGACTTCATTTGCACCAGTGTAAAGCAGTGAAGCCGTGAAAAGCCAAAATCAGGACTCAATAGTCTTGGTGACTATTGAGCAGGTATTCTTTAATGCAGCACTGGACGCACAAGGCATCATTCCTCCTTATCTGCGTGTGCCGCACAGGGTTAATTGCACAGTTTGTATAAAAGTTTTACGTATTTATTCATTACATTCTTCAGAAAAGGCAGGGATAGGTAAATTAATTCCTGGAAATCATTTACATATTCTCCTCCCAGTTGCACATGTTCAGTGATTTGAGTCAGTGGTCTTCAGGAGTCATTTACTTCATCCACTCCTCTTCTTCACCTCGTCCTTTTGGTGAACTTCAGCTTTTCCCCACCTTATTCTGCTGCCAGAACAACACAGACTGTACCTGCCAGCTCTCCATCCTTGAAATATTGCCCTTTACCTCTGTATCTCATGGTTCCCATCCCTGGCTATCCTCATATCTGACAAAACGCTAGATGTTTTGTCCCCTACATGCCTTCCAAGTGTCGTGGTTTAACCCAGCTGGCAACTAAGCACCACGCAGCCGCTCACTCGCTCACTCCCCCCCCTCCCTCTGTGGGATGGGGGAGAGAATCAGAGAAAAGAAAAAAAAAATAAGACCCGTGGGTTGAGATAGAGACAGTTTAATAAGAAAGAAGAATAACAATAATAATAGTAAGAGAATATACAGAATATATATAAAACAAGTGATGCACAATGCAATTGCTCACCACCCGCTGACCAGTGCCCAGCCCGTCCCGAGCCGCGATCACACAGCCCGAGCTGCGACCACTCTGCCCGCGACCGACAGACCCGAACGAACGAACCGACCCCCCCCCGAGCATGATGTTATATGGTATGGAATAGCCCTTTGGTCAGTTTGGGTTAGCTGTGCTAGCTGTGCTCCCTCCCAGCTTGTTATGCACCTGGACGAGCAGAAGAAGCTCAAAAAGTCCTTGAGTAGTCTGAGCACCACTTGGCAACAGCTGAAAACATCAGAGTGTTACCAACATTCTTCTGGTACTAAATCCAAAACACAGCACTATGCTAGCTACTATGAAGAAAATTAACTCTATCCCAGCTGAAACCAGGACACCAAGGCAGGCAAAGATAAGCAATTTACTACAAATCTCTCATTTTTTTTCTCTAATGATGACATTCCACACACTGTTAGTTTCTTGCCTCATATGGTTAGTAAGTTTAACCTAAAACACAATGTTAGTACTTTAAGCTGGATGCTCAAGGATGTTCTGTTTTCTCAAGGGTATTATCTCATTCCAGCTACAGTTGGCTTCACAAAGGTGTCTTATTAACCCTTTAGCATCCCTTCAGCAGAGATAACCTTAGTGCAGTTAGCTGTGGAAGCACTTGACTGTGAAGCTGGCATTGGTGGGACCTGATTCAGGACCAGTGCCCCTACACACAGCACCTCAAAAATTCAGTGACAGAGCCTGCCACCTTTAGCACCATGTATGTATTGGTCATTTTACAGGAATTTCTTACTAGGATGCTCCATCATTTACTGTTCAACTTGATGATCTTAAAGGTCTTTTCCAACCTAAATAATTCTATGATTCCATGACTATCATCATTAGCAGGTAAGATGCAAGTGGTAGAGAAATGCACGACCCACTGCTGATGTCCTTTCAGTAACCAGCCAACTGAAGGTTCCAACAGAAATCCCAGCAGATCTTGCTGACGCAAGTTACAGCCCCCAGCTATCTGCTCTACCCATCTGCTGGAGATTTCTGCAACACAACACAAATGTGAGAAGCTAGTGTAGACCATTCCCACCCACCCCAGGCATGGAGCAGCTGATGATGTGCTGATGATGTTGCACACGGTTGTTGCAGCTCTTGTATCCCTGTTTGCCACAGCTATCTGCTCAAAACACTTTTTTCCTGTGCTTTGTGATCAGTAAATGTCACAATCTCTTTCCAGTGGCAGGAGATTCTTTGCACAGAAAAAGCACTGCTTCCAGGGGGTGCAAAAATACCCTGAAGATGCCCTTTTCCTCAGATTACTGTGCACTGGATGTGTAGATAATGCAACTGACTGTGAATAATCCTGCTGTGTTGGGGTGGGGAGTACAAATTGCTTTTCTGAACAAGCTCAAACCCTAGCATGAACAAGCTTGGTAAACACTAATACGAAAGCCTGCATGAAAAACCAGGTGGAGTAGGAAAGACTTTGTGAGCCCCTTCCTTTGATAAGTACTGAACTTCTATCACTTCAGCCATAGGATGAGGTGATGACAGTGACGGCCCCAGACTGGCCAGGGTGCAAACTGTTTACTTAGAAGAAAACAAGTTTAATGGAAAAACAGAAGATAAATAGGTCAGGGCAGAAGAGAAACCTGATTTAACTGTTCCTGCAGGTGTGCTGACTGGCTGGTATCCCTGGCTACTGTGCATCCCCAAGACCATGTGCTGAGAGGAAGGTGAACATGGAAGAGATCCTTATTTATCAGAAGGCAAGTCAGAATCCCACTGAAC